GTGAAGCAGAAGCTGGAGAAGGAGAAGAGTGAGATGAAGATGGAGATTGATGACTTGGCCAGTAACATAGAGTCTGTCTCCAAAGCCAAGGTACACGTTTACTTTTATTAGGAATTTCATTGCAATGTGATGGTTTTGTTCCATTCAAAATTATTTAATTATTAGCAAGTTATATTGTAAATGTTTTCTCCAAATCTTATGTGTAGAATTGTGGGCGTATGACTATGTAGGTATGGCCACAATTCTTCAGCATACGACTATGTACATATGCCCATAAGAAGATACGTCAACTTGCATCTTCTGATCATATTTTCCCGGTGGAAAGAAGGTAGAATCAAGATATTTGGTCTATTTTCTTATGTGCAATTGATATCTAGGCAAACCTGGAGAAGATGTGCCGCACTCTAGAAGATCAGTTGAGTGAATATAAAACAAAGGAGGAGCAGAATCAGCGCATGATCAGCGATCTTAGTGCTCAAAGAGCTCGTCTGCAGACAGAATCTGGTACAGTCCTTCCATTTCTTATTTGGAAGTAGGAGAACCCCATAAATTGCTCTCTTGGCTAATAAAATGCTTTCTCAATTGCAAACTTTTTCAGGTGAATATGGACGCCAGGTAGAGGAAAAAGATGCTTTAATTTCTCAGCTGTCTAGAGGGAAACAGGCTTTCACCCAGCAGATTGAAGAACTGAAGCGGCAACTAGAAGAAGAGATAAAGGTAAAGATGTTAATGTTACATATGAAACAAATATTTGATATAATATTGGTTTTAGTGAAGTGTTCAAGATTTCCAAAGGTGATTCAATTTAAAGTTCAAACCATCCCCTTAGGTCACGCAATCTAGACCTTGTCAGTACAGGACACCTGTATTTTTATCAGGCACTCAGTTAATCACTATTTCTCTGGGATATATATCAGTGTCTAAGTTYCAGCAAGAGAAATTTCCCAGGAAACACCTACTCATTATTGTGATATTTTTACCACCAGGCCAAGAATGCCCTGGCCCACGCCCTGCAGTCCGCTCGCCAYGACTGTGACTTGCTCCGGGAACAATATGAGGAGGAGCAGGAGGCCAAGGGGGAGCTGCAGCGAGCCCTGTCCAAGGCCAATGGTGAAGTGGCCCAGTGGAGAACCAAATACGAGACGGACGCGATTCAGCGCACRGAGGAGCTCGAGGAGGCCAAGTATGTGATCATTGTGCAGAAGGTTGGCATACATCAATAGTGGAAATTTAAAGACACTGCTGAGATTTTCAAAGGCAAAAGCCTAATAGAAGTTTGAGGAACTATATGTAACAGAAAAACACAAGGAAAATAGGCTACATGACAAAGAATGCAGGGAAAATGACATGTATCAGATTGTGTAAAGTGCAGAGGGAAAGCAAGAGTGCAGAGAAGCYGTGGCTGCCCTGTCCCTGGAGTGTTCAATGCCAGGCTGGACAAGGCTTGGAGCAACATGGTTTATTGGAAGGTGTCACTGCCCATGGCATGGAACTAGTGGATTTTTTATGTCACATCCAAGACAAACCATTCTGTGACTCTATGATTACATGAAAACCTTGGGGAAATGGAATAGGAAAARAAGACTGGTGAGGTTAGGTTCTACACCATGTGCCTTAGGACCAAATACTGAAGTGTCCCAGTGCTGTGGTGAATAAGATAACCAACACTCATTTTCACCTCCAGTTAAGAGTTGTACTTACCACTTTCCAGGAAGAAGCTGGCACAGCGCCTGCAGGATGCAGAGGAACACGTTGAGGCTGTCAATGCCAAATGTGCCTCCCTGGAAAAGACAAAGCAGAGGCTGCAGAATGAAGTGGAGGACCTCATGATTGATGTGGA